ACTTCATCCTGTTTACCTCTGACCATTTCTCTAACTTGCTAAGGTCATTTTGAATTATGTCCCTATCCTCCAAAGAAGTTGCAACCCCACCCAGTTTGGTATCATCTGCAAACTTAATAAGCGTACTCTCTATCCCAATATCTACATCATTGATGAAGATATTGAACAGTACGGGTCCCAAAACAGACCCTTGCGGAACTCCACTTGTTATCCCTTTCCAGCAGGATTTAGAACCGTTAACAACAACTCTCTGACTACGGTTATCCAGCCAATTATGCACCCACCTTATCGTGGCCCTATCTAAGTTATATTTGCCTAGTTTATCAATAAGAATATCATGCGAGACCGTATCAAATGCCTTACTAAAGTCTAGGTATATGACATCCACCGCTTCTCCCTTATCCACAAGGCTCGTTATCTTATCAAAGAAAGCTATCAGATTAGTTTGGCATGACTTGTTCTTCACAAACCCATGCTGGCTATTCCCTATCACTTTATTACCTTCCAAGTGTTTGCATATGATTTCCTTAATTACCTGCTCCATTATCTTCCCTGGGACAGACGTTAAACTGACCGGTCTGTAGTTTCCTGGGTTGTTCTTATTCCCCTTTTTATAGATGGGCACAATATTTGCCCTTTTCCAGTCTTCTGGAATCTCCCCTGTCTGCCATGATTTTTCAAAGATCATAGCTAAAGGCTCAGATACCTCCTCTATCAGCTCCTTGAGTATCCTGGGATGCATTTCATCAGGACCTGGTGACTTGCTGACATCTAACTTTCCTAAGTGATTTTTAACTTGTTCTTTGTGTATCCTATCTTCTAAACTTACCCTCTCTCTGCTTGTATTCACTACGTTAGGCACACCTCCAGACTTCTCGGTGAAGACCGAAACAAAGAAGTCATTGAGCATCTCCGCCATTTCCAAGTTCCCTGTTACTGCTTCTCCCTCCTCGCTAAGCAGTGGGCCTACCCTGTCCTTGGTCTTCCTCTTGCTTTTAATGTATTTATAAAAGGTCTTCTTGTTTCCCTTTATGCCTGTAGCTAGTTTGATCTCATTTTGTGCCTTTGCCTTTCTAATCTTGCCCCTGCATTCCCGTGTTGCTTGCCTATATTCATCCTTTGTTAGTTGTCCTAGTTTCCATTTTTTATATGACTCCTTTTTTATTTTGAGATCGTGCAAGATCTCCTTGTTAAGCCAAGCTGGTCTTTTGCCATATTTTCTATCTTTCCTACATAGCGGAATTGTTTGCTTTTGGGCCCTTAACAACGTCCCTTTGAAATACTTCCAACTCTCCTCAGTTGTTTTTCCCTTCAGTCTTGCTTCCCATGGGACCTTACCTACAAGTTCTCTGAGCTTATCAAAATCTGCCTTCCTGAAATCCATTACCTCAATTGTGCTGTCTCCCTTCTACTTTTCCTTAAGATCATGAACTCTATTATTTCATGATCACTGTCCCCCATACTGTCTTCCACTTTCAAGTTCTCAACTAGTTCCTCCCTATTTGTTAAAATCAAATCCAGAACAGCTTCTCCTCTGGTAGCTTTTTCAACCTTCTGAAACAGAAAGTTGTCTCCAATGCAGTCCAGAAACTTATTGGATAGCCTGTGCCCCGCTGTGTTAGTTTCCCAAAAAATGTCTGGATAGCTGAAGTCCCCCATCACCACCAAATCTTAATCACAGCTTAAATGTGAGATAGCATCCATTCAGTGTGGATGCTATCTTTTGAAAAAGCAGATCGCTTTTTAGATGCACTTTTGTGTGTGGACGCGGTCTTTTGGAAGAAGCTTATGTCTGGATAGCTGAAGTCCCCCATCACCACCAAATCTTAATCACAGCTTAAATGTGAGATAGCATCCATTCAGTGTGGATGCTATCTTTTGAAAAAGCAGATCGCTTTTTAGATGCACTTTTGTGTGTGGACGCGGTCTTTTGGAAGAAGTTTTTTCAGAAGTTCTCTTCTGAAAGAAGGTACTTCCGAAAGAAGTCTGCAGTCTAGACATAGCTGAGGCAGGGTCTGTTAATGTGGATGTGCTATCTAGACTTAGAGCCAAAGGAAGCAGTGGAGAGTAATTAGTTTGAATTACTCTGTGTAGTAGTTATTTCAAAATAGCAGCAGTAGAGCATCCACACTACCGCTATTTCGAAGAAACAATGGAAAGCAGGAGTTGTTATTTCGAAATAAGCGGCCCATTATTTCAAAATAATAGGCTTGGTAGTATGGATGCCCTGCTTGTTATTTTGAAATAAGGGGAGTTATTTCGAAATAACTCCCTAGTGTAGCCCAGGGCTAAGAAAACTCATTTCCTGGCAGGAGAATGAGAGCTCAAGAACTAACACTGATCATCTGCTATTTAAAGGAACATTCATGGCTGATTGTGTGCAAAGATGGCAGATAGGCCAGAGAGCCTGGATGTCTGAGAGAAAGTTCTTATCAAACCCACACCTCGGGGTTCTGGAAAAGTCCCTCCTTTCAGTCTCCTGGCCTAGATCCAAATCACTGTCCTGTTTTGATCTGTTTATTACAGAGATGGGCCTAAACTACAAAGGGCAGATCTGGATCTGATCTAGATCCAGTAGGGTCATTATGAAGAGACTGTGATTTTGTGCTAGGTTACTAGGTGGGCCAGACATGGGCATTTGAATGTAGCTTCTGGTCCTGCTGTAGGAGGGCCACACACCTTGCAATTAGAAAAGTCAAAAGAGCAAAACTAGGCCACAAATAAAAGCAACAGTGCTGCACTGAGCATGCCCAGACCTTTCTTCATGGATTGCCAGGTAGAGCACATTGTCTGAAAGAGGTTGGAGACAGAGCCTTATAAACAACCCCTCAGTCTTTATTTAGAGATGAGACTGAGCTCTGGGTATCAGTGGGGCTGCCGTGGGCAGGAAGGCTTTGGGTGGTATATGCTGTATTCTGTCTTGTGCCAAGCACTGGGTTTCACTCAGCACCAACTGCTCTCATTTGGGCTGGGAACATCTGTTTGCTAGTGCAGCTGTTGCCAAGGATGGCTTCCATGTCTAGGCTCTAGTTAGTCTTTGCCCCTGGAGAGGCTGCTATGTGCTTCCATAAGCACAGAGCCCTGAACCCCAGGTAATACCAGTTAAGGCAGCTAGGTAAGAAATATGAGTCTCTGGACTCAGTCTAGAAGTGTGAGCTCCACTGGCCTTGGCACCACAAGAACCAAAGCAAGCCAGACATGGCAATGTGTGCAGGTCAGGGTGGCTAAGGCCCTCCCCACTCCAGTGCTCGGTACATTGAACTGTTAAGGTTGGGCACCCAGACACTGTGTCAGCCTCTGAATAGGAATTTTATGTGGGTTGGGCGGTTTAAAGAGGGGGCTCTTTACAAAAGAGGAACTAATGGATCCAAAGGATAACAAGTCCCCGGACTTCTCCAGTTCAGGAGTGGAGAACTGAAGGCCTAGGTGCTGGATGGGGCCCCCAGCTTACCTGGATCCAGCCCCCTAGGCTCGGGACTTCCCCTCCCAGCATTGGGGAGTCTGGGCTGGCATTGTAGCCCCCTCCCCCTTGCTGTCCAACTGTGTGGCTGGAGCACACAAAATCTACTAGCATGGGCCCCCTTTAGGCTCTGGTGTGCAAAGGGAAAGTGGGGAGTGTCTTTCTCCTCAGTCAAGGAGCACATCATTGAGGGTTTGTTTTTTCTCTTTTGCTTCTCACTCGTGTGCAGCTCCTGACTGATTTTTCTGACCCAAAAAAGGTTCTCCACCCCTGCTCTAGAAGGTCACTGAGTCTGTTTGCTCTGAGTATGTGAGCTGCATGGAAAGACTGTGGCTGTGCTGTGAGCACTCCCACTTGGCAAAGAAGGGGATGGATCACCAAGAGAAGTAACAGAAAGGAAATCTCCCACACACGCACGTGCACACACAAGATCTCATTGGATGGCTTCTCAGGCTCCCCTGTCTAAAAGCCACTGACTTCTCATGCTGGGTTATTTCTGGTGTGCCATTGGAACCACTGCCAAAATGTGTCAAGTCTCCAGGAAAAGTGTTTCTGTGGGACTGCCACAGCATTTCATAGAGCCACCAACGTCCTGCCGAAGACACCTACCAAAGTGAAGGGAAAGGAAGTGAACCCAGGAGGATGGGTGAACTGGAAGGAGTTGGTGAACAGCCACAGAAAGGAGAAGAGATCAAAATATGGAGAGCTAAATCTGACTAGATTGACTAAACAATGACAGGAGGACAGGAGACCTGATTACAGGCTGCAGATCTCAGAAGGGTGTAAACTCCAAGCAGGGAGGGGTGTGTGACTAGGCAGGGTGAAATGGATTTATGAATGGGAATGGCTATGCTAAATATCAAGCTTCCTGTCAGAGAGATTGATTGGGTTGGGTACAGACTCCAAAGGGGACAGTCTCTTGGCACATAGAAAACTAGACTGGACAAAACCTTTTCATGATGTAGGGAGCAATCCTACACTGAAGTGAGACAGGCAGGATGGTTAATTAGGTCTACTCCATGTTTAACTGCTCTGAGCTAGTCTCTCCTGTTCATTGCAAGGCCCTGCTAAGAACTGCCTGTGTTTAAATCATAGAGTGTTGATTGGTTTACCCTGCAGCTCCATCTCTCCCTCAGTCTGATGTAACAGAAGCCTGTCTGGGAGGCTTCACTGTCTGGCACCAGTGACTAGGCCCGTGGCCATGGGTGTTTTATAAGAGTGACCGTAGCAGCACTCACTTCAGAAGTTCCCTCTCTAATGGGACATTTCCTGTGTTTTCCTGACAGCTCGGGTTTCCAGGTAGTTTATCACCCTACTAAAAATGATGACAAGTCACAGTGACCCTGTGACCAGGAAGAATAAATTGGCTCTAATTATCATGCAGACTCCTCATGTGTTGGAATTTTAGTCAGGCAGTTTTAGCTCTGGAGTGGTCCTGCCCTTCGACCTTTCAGAGCAGTATTTCTTTCAGCTGCTTTCATTTTTTCCTTTTTCTGACTGGTGAGTCCTCCACTGATGCCACATTCTCTGATCTCTGCAGGAGTCCATGTTGCCCCACAATCAACAACAGAATGAACCCCAGGACCCGTGCAGTGAATCTGAGGTAGGAATAGGTGCATTTGCTGCTTTTAAGGACTTCATTCCAGTTGTCAGTCTGGGCACTGTTAAGATTCAAAGAGAGTTCTGGGTGCTCAAGCCCACATAATCCTTGCATTGCATGCAGGTTGGCCCAGGCACAACAGAAGGGGAGGGAATCTCTGGTGGTTAAAGCCTAGGCTAGGAGTCTGGGTTCTAGTCCCAGTCCTACAATGAGCTTACTATAGGTAGGTCGTGAACAGGGGGACTGCTGACCAGCATCTGGTGACGAAGGGATTAACTCAGATACTTAGCAAAGGTGTTGGCCAAGGGGCCAGGAGAGCCAATCGAGATAGAGGGTTGCAATTTGAATTGGATATAGGTTCTCTGCCTGCTTTCTTTGTGTGGGAGAGTTAAACCAGGAGTTGAGAGACATAGAGGCTATGTCTACACTGCCCTCTCTTGTGCAAGGAAATATGCAAATGAGGCGAAGTGGTGAATATCGCTGTGCATCATTTGCATACTTAATGAGCTGCCATTTTGCACAAGGGGCTTTTGCGCAAAAAGGAGCCATCTATATAGCTCCTTTTTGTGCAAAACCTCCCTCTTGCACAAGAGCTGTTCTGCTGCTTTTTTTTCAGGAAGAATGGCTCTTGTGCAAAAGGGGAGTTTTGCACAAAAGCCCCTTGCATAAAAATGGCAGCTCATTAAGTATGCAAATGAGGCGCAGTGCTATTCACCACTTCGCCTCATTTACATATTTTCTTGGGCAAGAAAGGGCAGTGTAGATGTAGCCAGAATGATTTAAACCCAGGCAGGACTACCATGTCCCTTCTCCCATTCCCTCACCCCCCTCCCATCAAATTCAGGACATGGGAGCTGACTGAACAAAGAGAAAATTATAAGTGAATACCAGGGAAATGAGAGTCCAGTCCCATTCAGGGTAATGTTTCTTTATTTTGGGGTTTGGTTTGAACTGCTCTGTGTGAATCTATGCCTCCCCTCCCCATTCACCACCATCTAAGCATTGTGCCCAGAGACTTTTCTCTGTTTTTTTTAATGTGTTTTCCTTGGTTGCTCTGTAACATCTAGCAACCAAGAACCCTTTCTCAAGTTTATCTTTTGTTTTGTAATAAAAGTGACTTCTTTTAAGGTGATGATTTCATTCTTGTGTCCTAGAAGGTCTTGTCTGTGTGTATCTGCATGCCTCTGACTGAGGGGTCAGCTACCAGAGATTGCTGCTTTTTTTCCCTCTTTTCTTTTTCAAGCTCTTTTGGGGCAAAGCAGTTTGGGGTACCCTTGGGGTGATTTCAAGTGTTCACCCCTGGAGTTTTTTAGGGGTCAAAAAGCACTTGATGATGGCAGAAAATTCCCCAAAAACTGTGATAG